TCATCACTTATTTCCTTGTGATTTTCCTCACTAAAGGACAAGCCACCAGCCATGAAAATCAAAGACCAAATCCCTGATTTCATTCCATTAAGAAAACATAAACAAATGGATATTATTCTTGTGATTTGTGAGTGGATGTTTCTGGGAAGTTTCCCCCCTATGTGTGTGTATTTATTTCGGACTTAGGCCATTTTGTGAGACTCAGATTGTAATTCCATTTTCCATTTAGTAATACACTTGTTGTGTTTGCTATTTAAATTCTTAAATCTATATGTTAAGAGTGGTTATCTTAAGTGTGAGTTTTAGGTTCTAGATATTTAATTAAGTGTGTTATATCTTAATTAAGTTCTAGACTTAACCCCAAGTTAAGATAAGAGTGTGTAATATCTCTTAAACACCAACTTGGTTTATCCCTTCATTTTACCTCTTCCCATTTCATATCTCTCCATTTCTTCTTCTTAAACTTAATTCTTTTCTTTCATCCAAAAATACCAAAAAGAACTCCTCCTGCATATATCACCATTTCACCCAGGCCTCTTCGAACATATCCCCTGCATTTTCCTTTGCATTCTCAAGCCAAGAGAACCCCCATACCTCCCCTTTTCATCCCTCACCAACTCGGCCTATAACACTGCCCATTCATTTCCTTTACCAATTCCTCATCAACTTTCCAACTTGATAAACCCCCGGTTCACCCCTAACATCTGGTATCAAAGTGTTATATCTACGCTCCGGGTTTTATAGTTAAAACCTCTTTATTCGCAGGGAAGGGGAGATAATCGATTGTTCTGAGTGGATAATCGATTGTTAAGGGCTTCAGGTTCTTGGGTAGTTTTGTAGGGATGTTCTGGGAGGGGGGATAATCGATTTACAGAAGATGTGAATCGATTATTGAGAAGTGCAGGTTTCTAGGAAAGGCTGATAATCGATTGTCTGAAAGTGATAATCGACTATTGAAGGCTGCAGATGTTTCACGAGGGATATATAATCGATTTCCAGTAGCAATAATCGATTATTTGACAGTTTTCTGGGCAGGAAGAAGGGTGTTTTTGTGGGGGAATGGACTGAAAATATATGGGGATGATGAAGGAGTTCTTTTGGGTATTTTAATGGAAGAAAAAAGTAAGATTAAGAGGAGAAATGGGGGGGTATGAAATGGAAGAAATCAGGGATGGATAAACCAAGTTGGTGTTTAAGAGATATTACACACTCTTAGCCTAACTTGGGGTTTGAATCTAGAATTCAAATAAGATATTACACACTTATTTAAATATCTAGAACTTAAAACTCACACTTAAGATAACCACTCTTAAGATATAGAACTAGGAATTTGGCTAAAATAGCATCACACTATTTTATAAATACTCAAAGAGTAAAAGGATTTTCAATATTCAGAGATTGTTGTTACAATGGCCATAAGGCCTGAGTTATATAGGTAGGGGAAAGGGGGAAGAAACACACAATACATTGAATGTAGACATTAGGAAACTTCCTAGCAATATCCTCTCTCAAAGCATGGGGCATTCTTCATTCAAACCTGTCTCCTTAGTTGGATAAAATCAGGAATGGGGCTGGGGATTGTGGGGTTTTGGGTTTTAGGATTGTAGTGGTTGTTTTCCTGGGTTTTGTGGGTATTATTTGGGTAAGAATGGAGGGTTGTTTTTGGTAATTAAAAGGGGACAGGGCTGGGTATTATTTGTGGGTATTTTGGAGTTATGGCTTTGGGTTATTGTGAGGAAAAACATGGGCAGGAATGTATGGCTAGTGGTGGGGAAGGGTTTTGGCTTTTTGTGGGGGTTTATGTTGGGATTGTGTGTTTTAATTGGCCAAGAAATAAAAGGAAGGAAGGGAAGGTTATACTTGTTTATTAAAAGGCTTAAAAGAAGAAAAATAACAACAAACAAAAAAGTTTTATTTTACACACTCTTATTTTCGGCCCTGGGCTAAAATAAGAGTAGGAGGAACTTTATTTTGGATATCAGATGGAAATAAAGTACTTTTGGATATTTGGGGTTGGGTTGGACGGAATGAGGATTGGCCAGCAGACCCCGAGGTCAAAAACGAAAGTTATTTGGCCTTTTGGGTTAAAGGACTTTGAATTCTTACTAAAATGGATCATAATGTTTGAACCTAAGTCCTTTGGTTCCCATGGGAGTGTGGGACATGGGGGAGGGTAGGATAGGGTCGGGCCCAGGTATAACATCCTCCCGGTCTTCAAAAGAGTTTGTCCTCAAACTCGGAAGATCTTCAAAATCCTCGTACGGGCTAAGATCTCTTCGATGAAACGTGGCAGCAACTTCTAGGCCTCGTGTAAGATTGACCAGGTAGGAATTTTTGTGAACCTTTGCCAACACTTCAAACGGACCATCGTCTTGGGGTTGTAGCTTTGACTTGCGCTTATTGAATAAACGCGCCTTATGAATGTGAACCCATACTAGGTCGCCGGGCTGAATGGACCATTTCAAGTCATGACCCTTCTCAACCTTCTTTTCATACGGGGCCTGCAAAAACTCAACACGTTTGGTACGAAGTACCGTTAACGAAGATAGGTCTCGAGCGGAGGTTTTCGCGTCAGGAGTAACGACTTCTTCGTGGGTCTTCTCTTCTTGCTCTTCTTCTTTTATCTCTGTAACCCAAAACGGGTTATCCTCTGCGTCCTGAAACATTTCTTCATCCTCTTTGACACGTTCTTCATCCCAAATGGGATCATAGTCCTCGTCATCATATTTGTCCCAAACATTCTTTGGGGAAGTGGGCTGCATTGTTTCGGTAGTTTGAGAGGAGGGCTGTTCGGGCTTAGAAAATTGGGGAGCAAAAGTGGGGGTTTGAACCATGAAGAAAGATGACTCTTCAAGGGCACTCTTGGGGGCCTGTGGTTGGCTTAAAAACATAACGTTGAGAACGGATTGGGGTGAGGGCGTCGGACCGGAGTTGGGGGTGTGATGGGCAGTGGTCAGGAGGGGTAAAGGCATGGTTTTAGATGGTTTTTCAAGTGGGGGTGTAGGTGTAGGTGTGGGAATGGTTACAGCCGTTTGAGGGGGAATTATAGGCATTGTTGTAGGCAAGTTTGGAGGCAGGGGTATGAAGAGGGTTTTGGAGCTTGTTTGGATAGTGGCCAGGGATGAAATATAAATGGGTTTTGAGGTATTTTGGGGCAGGGGTGTGGTAAGGAGTGTTGGGTTAGTTTGGGCAGTGGCTAAGGAAGGTAAAGAGGTTGTTTGGGTAGGAGTTTTGGGTAGGTGTGAGTGAGTTGGGTGAGAGATGTTTTGGACAGCATGTATGCAAGGTAAAGAGGGAACTTTAGAGGGAGTTTGAGTGTTGAAGATGGTGGTGGCTTCGGGAATGATTTGGGTAGCGTGGGAATTCTGGTGGAGATGATCTTTGGAAGAAAATCTCTTAATTAAGAGTTTTCTTAACTTTTCCCAAGTTCTCACCTTCGCTTTTCCTTGGAGCTTTCGTTTTGAAGCAACGCTAGCCCACCAAGTAGAGGCATGTCTTTGAAACTTTGCCACCACTAGTTTGACCTTCTTGTCTTCGGGTACGTCTTTGAGTGTAAAGACGTCTTCAACTTTTGCTAACCACTTTGAGAACTTCTCCGGGTCGTTCCTTCCCTCAAACGTGGGAATCTCTACTGAATTAGTGAGCTCCTTGATTTGTTTCATCATAAGCTCAACTTCCTTCTTTAGTTTCTCCTGAGCAGCAGCTAATTCTCCTTGAAACAAGTTTTGAGGAGAGCTTGGCATGGTGGATATATGGCTTGAAGAGTGTGTGGTTGACAGTAATAGAAGAGAGGAGGGAGGCGTGTGAAGATTATCCCTTAGGGATGTTCAACACAAAGCTCTGATACCAAATGTTATATCTACGCTCCGGGTTTTATAGTTAAAACCTCTTTATTCGCAGGGAAGGGGAGATAATCAATTGTCCTGAGTGGATAATCGATTGTTAAGGGCTTCAGGTTCTTGGGTAGTTTTCTGGGGATGTTCTGGGAGGGGGGATAATCGATTTACAGAAGATGTGAATCGCTTATTGAGAAGTGCAGGTGTCTGGGAAAGGCTGATAATCGATTGTCTGAAAGTGATAATCGACTATTGAAGGCTGCAGATGTTTCACGAGGGATAGATAATCGATTTCCAGTAGCAATAATCGATTATTTGACAGTTTTTTGGGCAGGAAGAAGGGTGTTTTTGTGGGGGAATGGACTGAAAATATATGGGGATGATGAAGGAGTTCTTTTGGGTATTTTAATGGAAGAAAAGAGTAAGATTAAGAGGAGAAATGGGGGGGTATGAAATGGAAGAAATCAGGAATGGATAAACCAAGTTGGTGTTTAAGAGATATTACACACTCTTAGCCTAACTTGGGGTTTGAATCTAGAATTCAAATAAGATATTACACACTTATTTAAATATCAAGAACCTAAAACTCACACTTAAGATAACCACTCTTAAGATATAGAACTAGGAATTTGGCTAAAATAGCATCACACTATTTTATAAATACTCAAAGAGTAAAAAGATTTTCAATATTCAGAGATTGTTGTTACAATGGCCATAAGGCCTGAGTTATATAGGCAAGGGAAAGGGGGAAGAAACACACAATATATTGAATGTAGACATTAGGAAACTTCCTAGCAACATCCTCTCTCAAAGCATGGGGCATTCTTCATTCAAACCTTTCTCCTTAGTTGGATAAAATCAGGGATGGGGCTGGGGATTGTGGGGTTTTGGGTTTTAGGATTGTAGTGGTTGTTTTCCTGGGTTTTGTGGGTATTATTTGGGTAAGAATGGAGGGTTGTTTTTGGTCATTAAAAGGGGACAGGGCTGGGTATTATTTGTGGGTATTTTGGAGTTATGGCTTTGGGTTATTGTGAGGAAAAACATGGGCAGGAATGTATGGCTAGTGGTCGGGAAGGGTTTTGGCTTTTTGTGGGGGTTTATGTTGGGATTGTGTGTTTTAATTGGCCAGGAAATAAAAGGAAGGAAGGGAAGGTTCTACTTGTTTATTAAAAGGCTTAAAAGAAGAAAAATAACAACAAACAAAAAGGTTTTATTTTACACACTCTTATTTTCGGCCCTGGGCTAAAATAAGAGTAGGAGGAACTTTATTTTGGATATCAGATGGAAATAAAGTACTTTTGGATATTTGGGGTTGGGTTGGACGGAATGAGGATTGGCCAGCAGACCCCGAGGTCAAAAACGAAAGTTATTTGGCCTTTTGGGTTAAAGGACTTTGAATTCTTACTAAAATGGATCATAATGTTTGAACCTAAGTCCTTTGGTTCCCATGGGAGTGTGGGACATGGGGGAGGGTAGGATAGGGCCGGGCCCAGGTATAAGACAAAGCTTTGTGTTGAACATCCCTAAGGGATCATCTTTACACGCCTCCCTCATCTCTTTTGTTACTATCAATTTTCAAGCCATATATCCACCATGCCAAGCTCTTCTCCAAACATGTTTCAAGATGAGTTAGCTACTGCCCAGGAGAAACTAAAGAAGGAAGTTGAACTTGTGATGAAAAAAGTCAAGGAGCTCACAAACTCAGTGGAAGTACCTACTTTTGAAGGAAGAACTGACCCGGAAAAGTTCTTAAAGTGGTTAGCCAAGGTTGAACACATCTTTACCATCAAAGATGTTCCTGAAGATAAGATGATCAAGTTAGTGACGGCCAAGTTTCAAAGACATATATATATATATACATATATATATATATATATATATATATATATATATATATATATATATATATATATATATATATATATATATATATATATATATATATATATATATATATATATATATATATATATATATATATATATATATATATATATATATATATATATATTGGTTCAAATGAGAATATGATCTAATGAAAGAAATAAGAATGAAATATAAACGTTGGATCTCATAGATTATTTATTCTTTATCTTCTTCCGTACAGGGCTATATCTGGGATTTTACAACACAATCCTCTCTCTTTCTCGCTCATATTTTAGTGGATCCTAGAAATCAGCGCACAATCTCCATAATTTTCGTTCGTCCTTTCCTCTTCCAACGATGGCACACCCGATCGATTGTTTCTTTGTAGCATGCCGATCCGAAATCCAAATAGTTGTATTCAGAATTGTCATCTTTTCCGGCTAAATGAAGAAGGTTGATCGAGATCCACCCTAAAATCAGAGATCCACCATGTTTCATTGATGATTATGCAAGGTATGATCTATATTGATTTGTATATGTGTGTTCGTTTTATGTTTATTTCCTTTTATAGTGAGTATTTCTTTACAAAGTGGTGATTTTTTATTTTTGTTTCCATTGCCTTCCGACTTTAGATTCATGGTGGAACAATA